GGGCCCTGGGAGCTGTAATTTCGCGGCGCTTCTGCGGGGCGGGCAGGGGCGGCGGGACACGAGGAGTTGCGCAGAGTCGCGCAGATTCGCCCTTCCGCAGCGCGAGGGTGGAAGCGTGCGCCTCCGGGGTCTCGCTGACCCGGCGGAGCTGAGCGGTGACCGGCGCGGTGCAAGCTCCCCGCGGGCGGCAGTCATCCCGCCGGCACCTCCGGGCCGCAGCGCGGGTCGCCTGTGGCCCGTGCGCCTCCGGCTGGCGGACGCCTCGGGGCGCCTCTCCTCCTGCCACCCTCTCCCCGGGCCCTGCAGCCACAGGTATTTGGAGGTTGTGGGCTTTGAACCCCACAGGTCGCTGTCCCAACCCCGCGGCCTGATATCAAAATGGGCCGGGTGCTAAGGCAGCAGCTTCTCTGGCTTATTCTTGAGAACAATTAAAAAGTGTGTTGAAAGGGAAAAATAATTTTAACCAAAATATCTCGGCTTGCAGGAATGGCACGTTTATTTTCTAGCATCATGTCCTGGGCCGATAAATCAGAAACGCCGCCATAAGTAGGTCCCCTGCTTTCTCGCTGATGTGAGGAACCTCTGTTTTCCAAACAAACCAAGGGCTGATGCTTATTATTTCACTCAGAGAAAAGACCCCCCCCAAAGGCTTTCTAGTTTACAAAGTGCTTTTAAATCCATAGTAATCGTTATTTTACTACACAAAGCACCAGTAATTAATTCACCAATTCACAAAACAATCCTATGTGGCGGGCATTATTTTTTACTACTTACTTAATTTTTTTAAAAAATTGCTTTCGGACAGGAAGGAGAGGGAGAGATATAGAAACATCAGTGATGAGAGAGAATTATTGATTGGCTGCCTCCTGCACCGATCCCTGAGCCTGCAACCCAGGCTTGGAACCAACCCTGACTGGGAATGGAACTGTGACCTCCTGGTTCATAGGTCAATGCTCAACCACCGAGCCAAACTGGGCATTATATTTTAAATTCACATTTTACAGATGAAGAAGCACCATCCTACTTTACAGATTAGAAACAGTGGTTTAAAGGGCTTGTGATTTGCCAAAGGCCATAGAGCCACTGAATGGTTGAGTTGTGATTTGATTTGTTTTCAGATAGTCTGAGAGCTGATATTTTAACCACTACTTGTTATGTTATCCTTCAATAAAGGAAGAAAGGAAGGAAGGAAGGAAGGAAGGAAGGAAAGAGAGAAAGGGAGGAAGTGTCCTAGTTATATCTGTCTGTAATGTTAACAAAAACATTGTATCCTAATGAGACAATGTTTGCAATTTTTTTCAGTCATATTTTTAATATATGCAAAATTAAGTATTTCAGTGCCCAAAGATATGGGTCATTGAGTTTAACATCAACAACCAAATAACCAATATTCTAAATGTTTAAACTCCTGTTTATATCAATATAGCAGTCAAAGCAATTCCTTATAATAATGTGTTAGGTCACTAAGAAGCAGATGTTAAAATGGGGTTGATGTGCAGGACTTCCTTGGGGAGGGAGCTATAGAAGGCAGGGAGGGCCTTCAGGTTGTCATGCAGGGCTGACCCTGTGGAAGGAGAGAGGGTGCCCATCTTCCCGGGACAGAGGTTCCACACTGCACCGCTGATGAGGAGGTTTGAAGGAGGGCACGTCAGAGAATCCACTCTGCCCTTAAGAAACCCACAGCCTCTACTGTGAATTGTGGGAAAGACATTTAACTTTAAAAACATGGTAAGTGCAGCAATAGACCTCTGCAAAGATATTAAGAAACATGGAGGGGAGACTAATCTGGGCTGAGAGGTGACTCTGTGTGAGCGATTGTGTGTGTGTGTGTGTGTGTGTGTGTGTACACGATGAGGCAGGAAACTATTTCAGAAATTCTTCCTGGGGGAGGTG